GTCGAGGGGGAGCCGAAGGGAGCCGAGTGGGAACGAAAGGAACCGAGGGGTGACCGAGGAGGAACGAAGGAAGCCGAAGGGAGCCGAGTGGGATTGAAAGATGTCGAGTGGAAACGAGAGGAGCCGAAAGGAGCCGAGGGGCACCCGATCGCCACGGCCCCCCCACCCCCACCCCATGGCTCTGCCCACGCTGCGTGCCCCAAAAACACCGGGGACCCCCCCCGCCCTTCCCCCCCCCCCCCAGCGCTGAGCTCACGGAAAGGGCTGCGCTCGGGGCTATAAAAGGGCTTCGCGGCGCCGTTCCCAAGGGGGGCGGGGGGGGGCAGGGAGGGCTGTGTGTGTTTTGGGGGGGGAAGGGCTGACGGGAAGGCCGGAAGCGGCCTCGGGGTCCCGGCGGGGCCGTGGGAAGCGGGGCGGGGGGATCCCCGGGGGGAGGGGGGCACGCAGCGTGGGCAGAGCCATGGGGTGGGGGTGGGGGGGCCGTGGCGATCGGGTGCCCCTCGGCTCCTTTCGGCTCCTCTCGTTTCCACTCGACATCTTTCAATCCCACTCGGCTCCCTTCGGCTTCCTTCGTTCCTCCTCGGTCACCCCTCGGTTCCTTTCGTTCCCACTCGGCTCCCTTCGGCTCCCCCTCGACTCCGCCTATTCCCACTCGGCTGATCTCGGTTCCTTTCGTTCCCACTCGGCTCCCTTCGGCTCCCCCTCGACTCCGCCCATTCCCACTCGGCCGATCTCGGTTCCTCTCGTTACACTCGGCTTCCTTCGGCTGCCCCTCGGCTCCTTTCGATTCTCCTCGAATCCTTTCGTTCCCATTCGACTCCCTTCGCCTGCCCCTCGGCTCTTTTCGTTTCCCTTCGTCTCATTTCATTCTCTCTTGACTCCCTTCGGTTCCCCCTCGACTCCGCCCATTCCCATTCGGCCCATCTCGGCTCCTCTCGTTCCCACTCGGCTCCCTTCGGCTCTGCGTGCCCCGCTGATGGCGGCGGGCCGCCGCTCACCGCCGGGGCCGTGCTGCCCGCCGCGGGTTGCGGTGCCCAGCGTGCACCAGAGCCTCTCCGAGATGGACTTCGAGCGGGGTGCGCGCCTCGGGGCGGGGGGGGGAGCTGAGGGCACCGGACCCTGCTCTAACCTCCCGCCGCCCGCAGGGATCTGGGCAGCGGCGCGGGACGGGGACGAAGCTCGGGTGCTGCAACTGTTGGAACGGCGCGGGGAGCCCAGCCAGCCCGACCTGGCGGGGTACACCGCCCTGGTACGGGATATGCGAAGCAGCGGGAGGGCAGTGGGAGACCGTGAGCCCCCTGAGCTCACCGCTCCCCACCACCCCGCAGCACTACGCCAGCCGCAACGGGCACCTGGGTGTGTGCCGCCTGCTGCTGCAGCGCGGCGCTCATTGCAACGCCCGCACGCCCGGCGGGGCCACCGCCCTGCACCGCGCCAGCTACTGCGGGCACGTGGCCGTGGCGCGGCTCCTGCTGGCGCACGGCGCTGACCCCGCCGCCGCCGACGGGGACGGCCGCACCAGCCTACATAAGGTGCGTGGTGGCAGCGAGGGGACGGTCCGCCCCTGACGGGATGGTCCGCCTTCCCGTGGTGTTGGTGGCATCCCCACGGTGGGTCGCACGCAGGCGGCGGAGCGCGGTCACCGGGAGCTCTGCGTCCTCCTGCTGCAGAACAGCCCTGCCTTGCTGGCTGCTCGTGATGCTAAAGGACGGCGGCCCCGCGACACGGCCGACCCCGCGGTGTGGGATCTGCTGGAGGGATGAAGGGAGGCAGCGAGGACGCCGCGGATGGAGGCAGAGGAAAACGGCCCCGCTGGGAAAAAAAAAAAGCAAAGCTCTGGGCCCGAATGCTGCGTCCGCCTCTTTGTCACTGCGCCTGGCGGGGCGTGGGGTCACCACGGGGGTGGCAAAAGGATGACGGTGGTGCCAAGGGTGGGGACAGCGCTGGCCCAGAGTGCCGCTGCACAGCCTGGGGAGGGGGTGGGGCGGGAACCTCAATTTTTGTGCTGCCGGGACAGAGCGGTGCTCCTCCAGCAGCGTGCATTGCTTCAGAAAAAGAAAGAACTCAACAAAAAGCCCCAAAGACCGAGCAACGGGTCGGCAGTGCTGATGGAAGAAAGGCAGCACGGCGTCCCCACGGGGAGCAGCGGTGGTGGGGGGTGAGAGAGCGGTGCCGACGGCAGGAACGGCGCGGGGAGCCCCGCCGAGGCCTCGCTCCGCCTCACCGCCCGCTCCGCTCTGCTGGACGCGGCCTGGTCTCGCCTGCAGGAAGGAACGATAAAGCGCGGCTGTTGAGCACGACGGCCCCTCACTCCTCCCTCGGTGCCGCTCCACGTGTACCGTCCCGAGCCCCCAGAACCGTACCGATAGAATGAAGACAATACCGGACCGCGCACCGAGCGCTGCACCTTTATACACCGCCGCTTCCGCTTCCGCCGGCCGTCGCCATGGAAACACCGGAACTCAGTACTCGTCCCGCCCCTTTCTTCACCCTCCCCACCAATCGCCAGCCGCTTTGCTAGTTCTCCTCGTCACAGCCAATCGGCGGGCTCTCTAGCTCAGGCCTCGCAACCAATCGGCGACCGCCACCCCCTCCCCCGCGCGGCGCTGTAAACAACAGCTCGGTGGGATTTAAAGGCGCCGCACCCCATTCCGCCCCCTCCCACCCCCGAAGTCGCCGAGCCCGACGCAAAGATAGAGAATTTTATTAACCAACCGGCAAAAAATAAAATAAAGTTCCATAATCCGTTCCACAACCCGGAGGGGAGGGGCGTGGGGCCGCGCAGGGCCCAGCATCCCTTCCCCAAATATACAAATCAAACCTGATGCGAAAATAAATACAGATTCTTGAGCTGGGGGTTGAGGGGGGAGGGGGGAAATGGGTTTGCATAGAGGAAGATTTAATAAAAAAAAGGGTTTTCACCGTGGTTCATTATTATTAATTATTATTATTCCTAGCGTCTCCCCGCAGCAGAACCAGGCCCTGATCGTCGCGACATGATTAACGCAATTAATTCCCCTTCTCCCAATAACTTAACGGTGATCACCGGGGGATTGTGCTTTGTGGGGGTGGGGACCAGTGATGGGGGGGAGGGGGGTCAAAGAAACCCCCAACGGAGGGGCTGCCCCCTCGCCGTCCTTTGGTCGCTAGCTGTGTGCCCCCCCGAGCCCCCACCCCGGGGCTGCGGCACTCCCTGAGTCACATCATCACCCCCTCCTCTGCATCGCTTCCATCATTCATGGCGGGGCTCGGGGTGGGGGGGGGAAGAGGAGGGAAAGGGAAGGAGAAGATGGCGGCGGTGGGCCTGGGCCTGGTTTTGGCAGGAGGAGGCCCGGCCTGCGGGACCTGAACTCCCTGAGCTGCACCGAGCGGAGGCTTCAGCCACAACGGGGGGCCCTCCGCCTCTGCGTCCTGCCGTCCCCGAGCAGCAGCAGCACCGGGCCGGGCTGTCCCTCCTCCGCCGCTCCCATCGGAACCGTGTGCGGCTCCCAGCGCATCCCCGGCCCGCGGGCGGCTCAGATGGAGTTCTCGATGGGGCCGTGGGTGCTGCGGCGGCCCAGGCAGTTCCTCTCGTTCAGCAGGCTGGTGGTTTCATCTGCCGGCTCTGTTTTCTCCTGCAGATCGGTTTTGGGAGCGCCGCTGTCCGGAGATTGGGGACAACTGTCCATGCGTGACGTGGTGAGACCGTTCTGGTATTCCTGCCGCGTGATCTGCGCCAAAGCAAAGCCGCCGTGAGGCAGGGGCACGGCACGGCAGACGGGTGCCCGTCCCCCCCAAGCCCCACACGGCCTCACCTTAACGAACTGCAGGTCGGTGAGCGCACGGACGCTGAAGTCGGCCACGTAGGGGGCGACGGCGCTGAGCTGGTTGTTGCTGCCACCAACCGGGGATGAAACGGAGTCGGAGCGTTCGTGGCAGCTGAGCGAGGCCGAGCGGTTGAGGCCGCTGACGTGGGATGGGGAGCGGGTCTCTGTGGGATGGGGACAGGCTCAGAACCACCTCAGAAGCTATTCGGTCCCTTTGCTGCTCCCTGTCCCGCTGAATTAAAGGGGGACGATGGGGACAGCAAGGCAAGGGTGATGGATGAACCGCATGAAGCACAGGGAGGGTGGCATCTCCTCGCCACCTGGACGCGGCCCCAGTGCAGGTGGGTTCCCCTGCTCCACCTCTGGAGCCACAGGTGGGAGTAAATGGGGTGGGTGAGGGGAGCACAGGACCCTCGTGACACCAGGAGGGGGAGCAGGAGCTCAGCGCTGTCCCCCAAAGCCCAACAGAGGCTGAGGAACTGCCTCTCCTCCTGTAGGAGCGTTTTTCCTCCTCCAGGAGAACCCGGATCTGCGTGCAGCCCTGGGGGAATGACAACCAGTGCCACGTTGACATGGCCCTGGGGTGCTGAGGACACCAAATGCTGAGTTAACTCAGCCTGGCAAACAATATCCCGAGGGCTGAGGATTGGCAGGCAGAGAGACAACATGACAGAAGCAGAGGACAACGTGAAGAGAGAGCGCCGGGGCGATGGCAGAGGGCAGGATGGAGCTGTGGTGGGGCTGGAGACGTGCTGGGGAACCCTGGGGTGCTCACCCGATACAGGAGGTGGACTGATGGCCATCACCCCGTAGTAGGAGAAGGCTCCTGCTTCAAACTTCATGCATTCCTTCCCAGCCTCCACCTCCACCTTGCCCTGCGAGGGAGAGGCAGCGTCAGGCTCCGTAACAACACGTCCTGTGGCACTGGGGTGGGTGGAAGGAGCTTGCCCGTGGCTTTGGTGATGGGCAGCATCACACCGATGGAACCCATGGGACACTGCCAGCCCGTGGTACCTGCAGGATGAGGATGAAGTAGTCGGCAGCCTTGTTCTTGGTGTAGAGGAAGTGGTGCGGGGACTTCTTGTTCTCCTCGTCAAACTTCAGCTCCTGGATGACGTCGGAATACTTGAGCAGCCTCAGCAGGATCTTCTCAGAGATGAAGTTGGGTGTGAAGAGCGTCACCTCTGAGAGTGAGACGGGAAAACGGGGTCAGAGCTGCGGGCTGCCCCTGCTCCCAGCCCTGCAGACGGAGGTGCTGAGGGATGCAGATGAACAGTCTGCCCCTCGGGGCAGCACTCTGGATCCAGGGCTGGGCCTCACAACACCTCCCTGCCACAGAAACGCCCGGGTCTGGCACCTCCAGCAGCCCCACAGGAGAGCACCCAGGTCCCCAGCCCCAGCTGTACGGTGACACGTGCCAGGACAGGGCCTTCCTGCTGGGCAAATAGCCTCATTTTGGGGGATACAGGGGAAGAGAGTAGGGTGTCATGGTCACAGCCCCTCACTTCCAGGTCTCCCACCCAATCTCTGGCCCCTGCTGGAACGCAGCGCCCTTGGTCCTTTCCTGTCCCCATCCTAGGGATCCTCCTAGCAGGACGAGGCCGCTGCACCGACTTCCCCCTCCTGCGGGGCCAGCAGGGCTCCCCCCGACAGATCGGCAGCAAGCAGGCAAAAATGCAAAACCTCTATCATTTCTCAGCTACAGAGCAACGAGAAGGGAACAGAAGCCTCGTGGCTCCAGGAGCAGCAGCGCAGAGCCGACGTGGGCACACGGAGCACTCCCAACAACTCACCCGTGGAGAGGAAGCGGTGAGCAGCCAGCAGCAGCTGCGGGGAAACCTTCACCTTCTGCTCATTGACGGGGTCCTTGAAGGCTGAGAAATCCCTCTTGCCCTTCTGGTTGCCCGTCCGCTTCTTGCTGCGGTTTTCATCGGCTGCTATCGGGGTGACAGGGCGGCAGGTGGCACCCAGCTCCCCCGCACGCTGCGGGGACGCGGCGCTGAGCCCCACACCTACCAAAAGCATCCGACTCGTCCAGGATCTCCGACTTGATGATCTCCTCGATGACGTCCTCCAGCGTCACCAGCCCCAGCACCTCGTAGAAGGGATCCCCCTCACCCTCGTTGTTCACCTTCTGCACGATGGCCAGGTGCGATTTCCCTGCGGACAGACAGGCGGACGTCAGACAGACACGCTCCGGTCAACTCACAGCATGGGCTCAACCCTACCACACTCCCTGCGCAGGGACAATAAGGACATTATGATCCAAACGAGCCCTGGGCTGGGCGCTCCTTCCCTGTTTAATGACAGCAATTAAGGGCAGAGGCACCCGCAGGACTGGGGACACCGCACCGCGGTTGTGAGGGAAGGGCTCAGCCAGAAAGACGCAGCCAAGGGGATGTGATCTGCAAGGACCTGGCTCGTGTCACCTGCACTCACACGGGACCAGCCCTGCTGAGTCAGGACGCGATTCCTCCCCATGGGTGCAGAGGGAACGAAAGCAAAGGGCAGAGATCCCACCCACACCCTCGAGGCCCCCCACGATCCCCGCGCATCCCAAAAGCTGCACCCCAAAAGTGCCGGATCCGGGTGAAACCCTGGGCTTCCCCTTCTGCAATGCAGGGTTTTGAGAGAGGGGACGGCAGGGGAGCACCCCACACCTAACGAAGGCCAAGGGGTGAAGCAACCCCTCCCTGCCCTGAGCCTCGTGCTGTGCTCACACCGAGAGGAGCAGGAAGAGGAGACAAGCACCGAGTGCTGCTGCAGGATCTGTCACCCCAACGCCAGCTTTTGTGCCACATCCATGGCACCATTCCTGCAGGCAGGGCAATCGGGAGCGCGGCCGATTGCTTTCAGCTCTCCATCCTTTTGCTCAGCGGATTTCCAACGCTTCCAACCCTGGAGAGAGGACTTGGGGGCTGACCCAGATCCCAAACACAGCCAGGCTGCCAGCTCCCCATTTCTGACCCAGCAGCAAACAGCAGTGAGGGCCGTCGAGGCTTTGTAATCAGAGCGATTGCACTTCAAATCCTTTAATAAGGATTCGTAGGAGGGAAAGCCAGCGCCAGCAGCTGGGCCAGCTCCAGCTCCAGCAATGGGGAGGCAGAACGCAGCCCTGCTCCCGTTCAGTTGGGCTTTGGGAAGGGGGGAGCCGAGCTGCCATTGAGCGTGACAATATCTTGGGGCGCAGGGAGATCGTGGGTGCAGAAAGAAGGCAGGAACCAAGCGTGCAGCCTCCAGACTCCAACCCTGAAGGATCAGCCTGGCTTGGATCTGCTAAATCCTGTCCCGAGCTGCAGCAGAGCTCTGGCTGCAGGAGGAACTGCCAGATCCCCTAAATCCCAGCACGAAGCGCAGGCGACCGCCCTGCACCCCTAAACGTCCCCACTGCCAGCAGGATGCAGCCATGAGCTTAATGGGAGCTGGGGAAGCAGTGGGGCTGCCGGGCACAGTGGGGTCCCAGGCTGGTGCACAGCGCCTCAGCCCCTCCCCATGGGCTTTAAGGGCCAGTGGGAAGCCAGGGGAGCGAGGAAGGGCTTGAAGGAGGGAACCAAAGCGAGCAAGGAGCCATGCAACTCCACAACAGCATTTCAAAGGCCTCCGGGGCCAGTAATTAAAAATGAAGAGCACGTAAACACTCTCCCAATGTTTCCAGAGGCGAGCGCCGAGCTGAGGGTGCTCTGCAGGGACAGCTCTGCCACCTCAGTGCTGCCACAGAGAGATCCTACAGAGACAGGCACTGAAACAGCCGCCCCATCTTCAGCACGGACTCTGTGTCCCCCCCATCCCCGCCAGCCCCACGAAGCCGTGCAGCCCTGGAGAGCTGCCAGAGAGCCCAAGTTTTGCTTCTGGCCTCGCGCTGCCGGAGCCATAAGGAAAAGCAGCCCCCCAAGGAGCAGCCCAGCAGCGTTCCCCCACTCCTCTCACCCTTCTTGAACTCCTCCAGCATGGCGTCCAGCTTGGTGTCGTGGAAAACAACGTGGACGGGGTGGTTGTAGAACTTGGTGATGGTTTTGAGGGGCGTGCAGTCGTCGGGGTCGACGAAGGCCAGGTCTTTCACGTAGAGGATGTCCATGATGTTGGATCGCTCCTCCTCGTACACAGGGATGCGGGTGAAGCCGCTCTCCATGATCTCAGACATGGTGTTGAAGTCCAGGATGGCGTCGCTGCTGATCATGAAGCAGTTCTGCAGCGGGGTCATCACGTCCTCCACCGTTTTGGTGCGCAGCTCCAGGGCCCCTTGGATCATATTGAGCTCCTCCCTCACCAAATCATTATAAGGCTCCGTCACCTTCAGCATCTCCACCAGCTTCTCCCGGTTGTACACGGTGCCGATCTCCTGGCCCAGGATGAAATCCAGCAGCTTGCTGATGGGGTAGGAGAGAGGAAACGTCACCAGCATGAAGAATTTGGTGACCACGATGGTGTTGGCACCCACGGCCAAACCGTGCCGCGAGCACAGCGCCTGGGGGACGATCTCCCCAAAGATGACAATGCCAATGGTGGAAGCCACCACGGCGCCGATGCCCGAACCGATGAGGTCATCCAGGAGGATGGTGAGCGTGGTGTTGACCAACACGTTGCCCAGCAGCAGCGAGCACAGCAGGTAATTCCCTTTCCTCCGGATGGGTTCGATCTTTTTGGCGTAACGTTTCTCCTTGTCGGTGCCGCAGTTCTGCACGATGCGCAGCTCCATGGGATCCAACGCCATCAAACCGAGGTTGAGCCCGCTGAAAATCCCCGACAGCACCAACAGCCCCACGATGAGGATCACCTGCAGCCAAAGGGGCAGCAGGGATTTCTTCTCCTCCACCACCACGATGTGGCCGTCGGCTCCTTGGTGAGGCAACCAAGGCAAGCCGGGCTTTCTCTGCGTGCACAGCACGTAAGTCTTGGCCTGCTCGTCCTTACGCAGGGGCTGCACCCGGACTCGGAGCAGAGCCGAGGTGTCCTGAGAGCCTCCAGCAGCCTCGGAACCCACCAGGCCCTGCACCACCAGGTCCTGCGAGCGCTCCGGGCACGTCCCGTTGGGCGTCGAGGCGTTGCCGGCCGGGCGGAGCTCGGCGAAAGCCACGCGTTGCCCGGTGCCCGGTCCCAGCCCCCAGCCGTAAAGGCGAAGCAGCAGCTCGCTGCCCTCCGTTACGCGGATCGGGCCTCTCGTAGGAGCCGCCGGTTTGGTGCTCTCCTCCAACCTCATGCCCAGGATCACGCTTTCCCCGCCGCCGCACACCGCGGTGCCTCCGGGAAGGGCGAGGAGGAGGAGGAGGGGAGGGAGGAGCGGAGGCGGCGACGCTGCTGAGCTGCGGGTTGCCCCAAAGCCCCGGCTGCCGCCGCGCCGCCGCCCGCCGCCCGCCGCCATGTTGGTGGCTCGCGGCCGCCGCGCGCCCGTGGCGTCAGCCCGCCGCCAGGCCACGCCCCCTTCCCGCGGCGGGCGGCCACGCCCCTCTTCCGGTTTTGACCACGCCTACTAAGAGGGTGTGTCGGTGTTAAAAGGGGCATGGCGAGGCTTAAAGGGGGAGGGGGTTTCGTGGGCCCGCCAGGAGGTGGTGCGTTGTGGCTGTGGCCGCGGCTAACGCACACAGAAAGAGGATTGATAGAGGTGGAAAGGAGGGGCATTGGGTGCCCGGGTGGGGACTATGCGGCAGGGCTTTGGATGTGGGGCGTAAGGCTCGAGTGGAGGGCGGGGTATAGAGATGGAGGGCAGTATGACCTGCAATGCGAACTAAGTTTGAGGGACAAAAAGCGGCGGTGAGATCACTAGGATTTATAATACCTGCCTCACTTAGTGAGGGGAAAGGTACTAAGCCCTAAGGGACAGGATCCAGGGTGGGGGCAGGACCTTGGAGGCGGGCACTGGGATCTGTGCTGCAGGACCCAGGCCCTTTGGGGGCACTAAAACCTAAGGGCAAGACCTTGAGGGAAGTACATAACCCGCCGGGGTTGGACTCTTGAGGTCAGTATGACACACGGACAGGATTCAAAAGGCTCCTTAGGACCCGCAGGCAGGACCTAGAACGCTGGGAAAACCGAGACGCTCAGGAAGCGCCAGGCCCGCGCTGTGATCTAGCCGCACCTCTATCCCGGAAGTGTCCTTTAGTTCAAGCCCCCTCACCCCCTGCGCGCATTATCCTCTCCCCCCATCTGACAGCCACGCTGTGCAGCCAGCCATCCGTTGGCATCGCGCGGTGGGCGGAGCGAGCCGACCAATGAGCCCGCGGGACTGGGAGGCGGGCCCAGAGAGCTGACCAATGGACGCGCGGGGGTGGGAGGCGGGCCGAGAGAGCTGACCAATGGACGTGGGGGGCTGGCAGGAGGAGGAGGCAAGATGGCGGCGGGCCGGTGGCGGGCCGGGCTGGCGCTGCTGGTTGTGGCGGTGGGGCTGGGCGGGCCGCGGGCCGAACAGATGGAAGAGCATCTGAAACGGGAGCATTCGCTGTCCAAACCGTACCAGGGTGAGGGGGAGAGCGGGGGTGGAGGGCAGGCCGGGGTCGGGGCCTCGAGGCCCGGTACCGACCGGTGGTGTGGACCCGACAGGAGTGGGTTCGGCCAGCGCGGGGCTGTGGGAG